GTTTTAAAAAATTTTATTTTTCTGCTCCAGTGACCCCCACCCCCAAAAGTGCCTAATTGTTTTATGTTTCCATAACTAAGAAAGATACAGAATGATTCTTCTAAGAACAAAAGATTTTCTTCAAAGTGATTTTCTGTTCTTGCCTATAAAAAGAAGTAGTTGCAATTTACTTCACTAAAATAGTTAATCTTTGTCTAACAATGCCTCCTATTAAAAAATGATAATGTGCTTACATATTAAATGACAACTTATGTAACTTGCCCAAGGTGGAAATTGGTTTCAACCCCCAAACATGTGTGTTTAACCACTGTGCTTACTGCCTCTTCTCATTCAATGTATATGCTAATGTATCATTATTTATTCTATAACTTAGATACTTCACTGATATTGGTCAAGTTTATTGCAGGAATAGAAAAATCTCTAAGCATTGGCATCTCTTCTAAACTGTTGATAATAGAGAGCTGGACAGTAAATGTACTTATGAACTAGTGCATTTATATGGAAAATGAGTATATTTACTATAAGAAAAAATTATCCTTTCTCTGCAAAGTTAAGATACAGAAGGGAGAACAGTACTCATACATAGTTCTGGAGGGATTGAAACTGAGTGGTATGTAGGCATTTGAGTCAATACATATTGTTAACAAATGATGCTCTTTAGAATTCACGATTTGGGAACGCTGTCAACGAAGCTGGATTAACCTGAGTTTATTTTGCTTTGCCCTACTCTTGGTGCAAGTGTAAGAGAGAGAACTAAACTTTTTAATTTATTGGTTTAATGGTAGTTACCTCTCAGCCTTCTCATCTTTGTTTGATAATAATGAAAAATAAAGTTCAACCAGATTGTTTTCACCTTTTCTCATAGGCACTCTTTTCCTAATCACATTATTACTCTCCTCAATAAAATGGAAGTAAAATGCATTCATATTATTTTTCATAAACAAGAGAAAATTCTGACACATTATCAGTAGTTTATGTTCTTTAGAGGAAAACCATGTTGCTGTAAAAATATTTGTTGTACTATTCAGAGTTCTTAATAGAAATTCTGGGCGGTCAGAAGATCTCTAGGCAGTTTCCATACATCTATAGAGGAAATAATAACCTATCCTCTGACAAAACCTCCATGAGACCTGAGTCCTAGCTAGCTAAGGCCAGGGTCCCCTCTCTCACCTCCAATTCTAAGACTTTGTTTCACGTGCTTGCCTTGGGCTGGTACTGTATGCCACAGAGCCACGGCCAAAGTTGTGAGTCAGGATTGCTACTGAGCTGTTTCATTTACTCCAGTTCTACTGCAAAATGAATTCTCTACATTTGACCTTATATCGCTTTGTGTTGTTATTGTTATTATCACTTTATTATTACCTTTATTTTATATACTTAAAATTCTTAGCTTTTAAATTTAGTTTGGATTTGAAATACACAATAAATTTTTATCATTTAAAATGATAAATATAGATATCCTTATATCAACTTTATTCAGTTTTCAGATTTATTAAGCTTTGACTTCATCCAGAAACTAAAAATTCTGATTGCCCCTCACTTTTATAGTGAGGAAACTTTCTGTTTATTTCGATTTGTACATACTTTATGTTGGGATGAGGGAGCACTTCATACTGCAAGAGATTATGTGTTTTTCTACAAGTTAGATGAAGTTCGTATTTCTCCCTTGGCTGGGTATGTATTCTGTACATAAATAAAGATGTTCTACGGGTCCCAAGAAGGAGGAACGAGGAATATGCATCTTGTGGGAACACATCTTCCTGGTGATAGCTGGCACAGACTGAAAAGTGTGTGGAGTGACATAGAGAAAAACTAACCAACGATTCTTGAAAACCTACTATGTGCTGGAGACTGCTTGATATGTATTTGTCTTGTCTCATTTAATTTTCTTAACAATTCCATAAGGCAATTCCCATTTTCCTTATTGTACAGATGAAGAAACTAAGGCTCAGAGAGACTGGGTAACTAATCTAAAGTCACAGACCCAGAATGGCAGAGTAGGGACTCAAATAATGTGTTCAGATTCCACAGATAATCCTCTTCTGTGCCCCCATGCTGCTGGGGTCTCAGGCAGCTGGGAGCCCCCACTCCATACTAGGGGCAGCATGTGGTCATCCAGTTAAGTCTCATACATTTCTCTTAGGTTTAGGGACAATCAGAATGTCAGAGCGGAAGGAGACTTTGGAGCCCAGGCAGGTGTTTGCTTAACCACTGGTGTCCTAACCTCTTCTGCCAGCCCTTCATCTCTAATGTGGAGTACTTGCTGGTGCTCATGCTTATGGGAGCCGAGCTTCTCAAGTGCTTGACGGTGGCTCTGCTTGTTTTTTTAGGGCCTGCCATGCACCAAAACTTACACTGTTGTTATTTGGAAGCCTTAGCATTCCTCACTTCAGATTACCTCTTTATTATCTTAATATAACATCATGGCCATCTGGCTGATTTGAAATGTAAAAGGAGACTAATCCTGTACAATAATGTTTTTCAAGTGGAACACCAAATCTATAGGGATATTCAGGGCATTTGCTTTTATAAAATTAATTTTCTTTAACCTGTGCTAAATGCTCCTTTATCCTTATTTATAGAATTTCATGGTTTTAATGATCTGGTACTGTTTTGCTGGTATGTGCAGAGATATGTAAAAAGAAAGTATATTTTTATTTTTTTATGGATTTTAAAAATGTTCAGAACTTTCATTTGCAGTACTTTATCCTTTCTTATATTTTTCTGTGTTGCAAGCAAAATGTCATTTGGTTTAAATTGACATTAAGCACATTTTTTAAACCAGAGATTTCTTCCTTCAACAACAGTTTGTTTGTGCTATGAATGAGAGCAGGTGGTTTGACTCTGGAGCAGACAGTGGGAACTTCAAGTTTCGTTTTCAGCAGGTACTTGAATGCCTTTAAAGAACTTCCTCTCTGGGTTTTTGGATGCCCCTTCTCTCTACGAGTAGAAGTGTGTGCTCTGTGCCTAGATATCCGTTATGTAGTTTTATAGTTCATTTGTTGAATGTCTGTTACATGCCAGACAGAAGACTGTCTTACAGACATTAGCACATCTCCTCATTTAATCCTCATAACTACCCCATGAAAATAGTTATAGCATAGGCATAGAATACTCTCTCCATTTTTCAAAATAAGACACTGAAGTTCAGGTAGATAAGTTTCCCAGTGGTTACACAGCAGGTACCTAAAGATAGCAGGGCTCACCAGATCTGTCTGCCTTTTTCAGCCATAACAGCTTGCCCGGGAGTAAACTAGCTGAAGAGTTTAGGAGGTGAAACTGGGAAAGTGGTAGAGGGCTTTGAATTGTATTCTAAGTGAGACGTCAAGCTTTGGATTCATTCATTCATTCAGTACCTACTGATCAGGCACCTAATGTGTGCCAAACAGTCTAGGCATTGGGGGCATCACAGCAAATCAAAGAGCATGAACCCCTGCCTTTGAGAAGCTTATATTCTGGCTCTCAGAGGTTTTAAGCAGAGAAATGACATGATCTGGTTTAAGTTCAACAAGGGGCCTTCTGGCTGCAGTATTGAGCATCACCTGCCGAGGGGTGAGGACCGCAGCAGAGAGACCAGTTAGGAGTGACTACGACAATCCAGGCAAAAGAGGATGGGGCTTGGACCAGAGTAATAGCAGAGATGAGAACCTGGATTCTAGGTAGAAGAAACACCAGTGGAATTTGCTGAGCAATTGAATGTGGAAATGGCTCACCCCTGCTTTAACTGGAACTCAGGTTAACCAGCATCCAAAACCTGTGTGGTTTTAGTTATATTAGAGTTCAAGTGTATAGTGGCTGCACAACAATATTCAATTTAGTGGAAAACGTAGCTCATTTTCAGCTCCTTAGTACTAGGCCTACGAAAGGAGAATACCTGTTGGTGTTAGAGGAGGCAAGACAGAGCTCCATTTCCCAAGAGCATTTATCGTCTAGGCTGTTGTCCACCAGCCTGCTCCCTCAATGGCCACTTGCGGGTGATAGTACTTGTGTGGTTCTACTTGAGATTTGTAGTGTGTCCATCTCAGAGCCATTCGAAATCTTTTCCTATGGCTCACCTGTGGTGAGGCAGGAGGATGGATCCTTTTAATAAAATTTAAGCCCCGCTTCATGTTTTTCTGCCCGTGTTATTTTACTGAAATGGCATAAGGTCCAAATCAGAACAGGTTTTAATTCTGGGTCATGAAGTGGGACTTTTAGTATATTGTGGTCTCATTTTTTAAAGATGAGGAAACAGAACTTCCTTGTAGTTAACTTTTACTAAGCAGACATGGTCACTCAAAAATAGTTCTATATGTATCAGATCTGCCTATAACTTTAATAACTTTAAGATGCAGATTTTTATTTCTCAAGTCAGTGAAATTGCCACCAAGTTATTTATGGAACAATAAAGTGAAAAAAAAATATTATCCTAGTTCAATTAATTTTCATTTGACCTTAAGTGAATTACTTTATATTTCCACATAAGAGAGGAAAATGATCATGGTTGAACATTTCATGTGCTTCGCAGTCATTACATTACTGAGGATAGCATGGGCAGCTAGCTAGACTTTTGGATTTAGACTAAGAAGTAATCCTCTACACACTTTCTCTTGAAGTAGAGCCAAATTATTTGCTTTCAGTTAATCACTGGAAGGCCCCGTGAACTGCCGAGGGTCCTCCTAGCTGCATCTTTTGTAATTGATCTAACATCCCACTGAACTTGGCCATCTATTGTGTCTTGTGGGGCAGGTTGTCTAGTTAAGTATATGAGTAGAGGCTCTCACCTTCTGGCCTGCAAGGAGCCTTTGCACAACCACATTAGCCTGTTTTGGAGATCAGCCTGAGGGTGTCCTTTGCTGTGTCAGCCACAGTCTGAATCAGGTAGTTGCACCACCAAGAAATGAACATGCGTGCCTCTGGTTCCCTTCTGCCTCCAAAATGCAGATGAGGGCCCTTGTCATTATTTAAAAACTTAAAAATCAACTGAAGAATCATTTAGTTCATTTTATTATTTTTCCCAGGGCTACGTCCAAAGAGGACTCTACGTTTGGTGCTCTGGACTGCAGAGGAACAAGGTGGAATCGGTGCTTTCCAGTATTATCAATTACACAAGGTAAGAAAGCATCCATGGATTGCTGGGCATTTGCACATGTACCATCAGTGTAGATTCCCTCTATCGTCCTGAAGACTCTCAACAATACTTAGTGTTAGACTGACCTCAGCAAACACCCCTTGCAAAAGCCTTCTTCATCCAGCCCCGTAAAGGAGAATGCAGTGGTGAGCTGACAGTGCTGTGGACGGAGCTGAGGGCCTCCTTCTTTCTATATCAGTCTGTGGCCTTAGAAAAATCCCAACTGCCATGCTGCCATTTTTTAAGGCTTTCTAGTTCTGCTATACTCATGTATGCCAGAGAAATAGTAGTAGGTAAACATTCTCTGTTCCCACTGAGTCTACTCCATACGTCAATGCCCTAAATCCTCCTGGGAACACTGGTATTTGAGATCCAAGTCTTGAGGACTTGAGTCAGCCAGGAGCATTGATAATGGTGGTAGCAATGGCAACAGCCAGCAATCTCAGGCCTAGGTATGTGGAGGACAGCTTGGTTTGATAATGACTATAATAAGACAAAAGTGAAGGTTGAAGCAAGGAGGTGATAATAGAAGATCATGATTAGAAATATAAGATCACTTTTAAGAGAAAATAACATCAAGAACAACATTTGAGAGGGAGGAGAGTATACTAGCTCTGGATGAAATTAAATGTTGGTTCAAGGAGGAATTCCCAAATCAGGGCATGATGCTGAGCAGTGATGGTCGTGCAGAGGAGCATCTCCAGCTCAGAAGAGGCAGACCTCACAAGCTTAAATTATTAAAATCAGACACAGGTGTATCTGTTTTCTGAATTGTATTTATATCCTTTTGGATCATTTTACTGTCGGTGTCTATTACCCTACTTCAGTTATAGCTTAAGAGCAATGAGTTCAGGGTCATGAATTTGGTAACTGAGTATAGTTATTTTCTGTATATAGGAAAACCATGCTTTACACCCAGTTTTATCACCACTTCAGTCCTTTTGGCCTCATCTGATCCTGGGAAATAAGATAATTCCAGATAAGTGTCCTTTGGTTGATGGGTCAGTAACATCATCTTCTGTATGTTGTGGTAGATGAGAATATCATATAAGAATTATTCTAGATTCAGCAACATTCAGTTAATATTTCTGACCACCTACTATGTTTCATGCACTATATAGGTTTAATATCATTAAAATGATTAATCCTGACCTTTCTGAGACTGTAATCTAAAGGTCACCGACCACTGAACTTCAATTATAATGTGTAAAGTGTTCTGATAAAGAACAAAGTGCTGATGGCAGAGACAAGAACCTCCCCTAACCTGGCCTTGGGGAGCCATCAGGATAGACTACATGGAAGAAATAACATCTAAGTGGAGAACTGAAGACTGAATAGAAGTAAGCTAAAGAAAAGGAATTGGCAGGGAGGGAGTAAGTGCTTGGTAGCAGGAACTATATGTGCAAAGGCTGGTGGTAAAGAGAGCACAGCACACTGGAGAAATTGGAAGGAATTTGGAGTGGCTGGTGCATAAAATGTAAGATACATCAAGGTGGGATCATAGAGTAGAGAGGCAAACAAGAGTCTGAAAAAGAAGAACATATAAATCATGTTTAAAGTTTGTTCTTTATCCTGAAGCAAGAAGAATAACTGAATTATTGTTAAGGAGTGACTTTTAGGTTCTATACATCTTAGGCCCTATACAAAACAGAATACCTAAAGAACTATTTTGTGGCACGTTTATTCTCGATAATCTACTCTACTCCAAGAAAAAAAAAATGAATTTAAACTGCAATGGATCAGGCTTGAAATTTCTTCAACAACTGAATTCTTTTAGATCTGTAAAAAGAAGGTTTATCTCTGTGAGTTTTTGAATTTTACTGTAACCTACTAAAATACATGTATGAAATCAGAAATGACTTGATTTTAAAATTCTCAGAAGTTAGCCAGTTTTGAAGGACTTATTTGGTATTCTTGTGATTAACATATGGATAGAAGCATTGTTATGAGGATAATCATAACTGGGGTGGCTGTGTTTAACTTTAAGTGAATATAACAAGCAAGTAATGAGCCAGGGAGGACAAATCAGATTACCTTTAGGCTTCTCTATAAATTTACTTAATGCCAGAAAATAGTCAATGTCCATTTCACTCCAGGCACAACAGAGATCCTCTTTTCTAAATAAGGTATGTCACCTAGGAAGACCAGGTTCTGTAGGTGAGAGAGAGAGAGAGAGAGAGAGAGAGAGAGAAAGAAAGAAAGTTTTATAACTGCTGAAACAAATAAGCCCCGAAGTTTCAGTGGTTAGAAAGTTATTTTTTGCTCACATAATATCCAATCTACGTGACAGCTCTGCTCCACATAGTCACTAAAGGATCCAGGCTGATGGACTCTTTGGCAACATGGCTTTTAATATCACCTTGAGCGTCAATATCCAGCTGGCAGTCAAGAGGAGAGTGGAAGACATTTATGGGACAATTCTGGAAGGGGACATGGAGAGGCAAACAGGAAGTTTATGTTTGCTTAACTGAAGTCTGAAAGGATTATCATCCATCACCTCTAAGAGAAAACTAGGATTATGTGGATATAGTGAGTTATGTAACTGTATTATGTTACTTTTTATAAAATAAAAAAAAATATTATTTTTATAATGAAAGGAAAAATAAAAGAATAAGGTATCAGTAAACATTTATTTGACAAAAGTTTTTATTTCATTATAAACCACAAGTGGCAAGCAAGAGAATATATCTTTCCTCTCCAACAAATATTCACCAAAGCACTTGAAGTACAAACATTGAATGGTTATCACATCTGAGCTTTTCAGGCCTTCATTTTGCCTTCTTCCTTCAAATAAGAAATTAAATACACCACTGTCCAGGAGAACTGGTTCTAGTCTTTGTTCTGCCACTAACTAGATATTAGACATCAACAGTGAGGTCCCTAAGCCTTTCAGAGACTCAGTTTTCTCATCTCAACTTACTGCAGTTTATCTTCCCCTCTCAGCCCTCACAAGCAATCATTATGCTTTGCTCTACTGAGAGCATAAGTTGTAACAGTATTTACAATTAAAATGTACAATTAAACATGCCATTCTAAGTTCTAGTATGATTGTCTGTGAGAAAACAAAGGTAGTATTATCTTCAGCAGTACAACCATAGATCAGTAAACTACTGGTATTGAAAACTTACTCTATAATAGACACCACAGATTGGTTATGCCTGTTCTTGAACTTCATATAAACAGAATTATACAGTATGTACTCTTAAGTTTGGCTTCTTGCACTAAACAGTATGGTTTTTGCACTTCATCTATGTTGTTGCATTAACAGTAGTTTGTCCCTTTTACTACAGAGGAATTTTCTGTCATATGTGTGTACCACAACTTCTTTATCCTTTCTCCTGTTGATGGACATTTGAGAGTTTCTAGTTTTAGCTATTATAAGTAAGGCTGTTATGAACTTTTTGTACACATGTTTTGGTGGACATATGCAGTTCTTTTCTAGAAGCAGAATTGCTGGTGTATGTCTAACTGTTAGAAGCTGCCAAAGAGTTGGGAGACAGTTGCTGACCCTTATGGGTCCAGGACCCCAAAATGAGATCGTTTTTGCCCAGTGTCACTCATGCCAGTAGAACCAGACTGTGTTTGGTAAAGCAAAGGAGAAACTTTATTCTTTGACCAAAGAATGGAGAAGGATAAGCTGCCATTCTAAAGACACCTTCTCTCCAATTTAAGGAAATTAGGAGTGTCTAAAAGGATTGGGGGGAGGTAGTCAGGTTTAAGAGTAGGGATTTCCCAGAAAAGGGTGGAGAGTTAGTTGAGTTGCAAGGGAGCATGAGCGGTTTCAAAACATGCTTGGAACATGCATGGCTATACATCATTCGTCTCATTTTTATGTGACTTCTTCGCCTCTGAGCATGAATTTTAGCATGCTAATGAAGACAATTTCTTCAAGTGGTCACTCGAAAGGGGTTTGGGACACCATCTTGGATCTTTCAGTACAAACCAGTTTCTTAGCTGTGATCCATGGGTCTCTTATCTGGTCCTTGTTGGTAGGCTTAGCTTGCTCTGGATTTTCTGCCCTTTTATGACAATTTCAGCCTGTTTCATCAGGGGATGTTTTGGAGAATGAGAGAAGACAAGAAAGTTAGTAGAGGATTAAGGATTTAACTATTAATATGGTAGCACGACCCAAAGACAAGACTGTACCGATTTACATTCCTACTACCAATATATGAGAGTCCTTGTTGGTCCCCATCCTTCCCAATGCATTGTACTGCCAGACTTTTCATTTCTGGCCATTCTTGTAGGAGTAACATTTTCATATTTTTCAAGGTACAGTTCTGAAGAGTCTCACGAAAATTGTGCCTCCACTTCTAATGGTCATCTTTTTTTCTTTTTCCTGCGTCCTTGCTTGAAGACTACCACCTTCATTCTGTTCTGCCTTATGATTTAAGGAAGGTGGAAGGCGTTTTTACCTTGCATGAGGTTTACAGGGATGTTAATGATCAGATTGACTTTATTTCCATTTGGAGGAATATCTTGGAAGAGCAGGACATAAAAATACCATCCTGCTACTAACCACAGCTAATGCCCTGGAGCACAGATTTCATATGGAGTCTGGGTGCTGTTGGAATTCAACTTGAAGCAAAAATGATCCCCAATAGAGTGTGGAGAGGGAGATTTCTCTTATGCCCAGAAAAAGAGGTTATTCTAGAAGAGGGGGTGGTGGAAGGTGGCAGAAAATGTCTTTGTATTATTCTTTATTGATGAAATTATTTTCCAAAAATAGGAGTTCTTTGTTGGTCAAATTCAGCTTACATTTTACTAAGAAGGAAATGTTACTACAAATAAGGGGACATTATTGTACTCTAGTGATTTTTAAGACTTTACTTATAGAGTAGAATTTAAGTTTGTAATTAAAAATATTATAAATGATTTTATTGAATTTTCAAATCAGTGAATAAAATGAGTGTTGTCCAGATCCCATTTGCCTAATCTGCTCTTCATGGGAACAACGTCACTTTCTTCTCTACTCTTGAAAA